TCATGGCATCCGTGTATGCCAGTACAGCGCCCAGCTTCTCGCCTAAGTCGGCGAGTGGTTCCCGCGGTTTGGAGTTTAGGACGGCGAGGACTTGGGCTTTTGTGACATCTTGTTGGGGAGTGAGTAGGTGTCTGGGGGTAGAGGAGTGGGGGTAGAGGAGAAGAGGAGAAGAAGAGAAAAGAGATAGGGTAATATGGTAAAGGGGATATAAGTACCTTCAGCTGATTCGAGAATCGGCGAATGAGACTCCCATTCGTACCATGCCTTGTTTAGAACTGCAACGCGGCAAATGGCTGTTTCGCGGATAGATGTGGGAAGACTGGTTTTCGTGCGGATGGAGCCGAGGAATGAGTTCCTGGTCATCTCCGTCAGTTCGCCGCATTCCAAAGTGGATGTTTGATTGGAGTGTGAATGGCTGTGTTATGCGCCCGTCCATCGTGTGTGGACTAGGTAGGACAGCATGACATGGAAGATTGGAGCATGATGCTTTGGAACTTACCACCCGTCCGCGACCGGGGGAGCATGGAGCAATGTCCGGTCTAGAGCTATGAGGCCCTTCTCGCCTCGCCGTTGTCTGACGCGCTGCTCGACGGCTTTGTCTTCTTCGGAGGTGAAGTTCGGGGGGTCGGGGACGTAGGGGAGACGCATTGTGAGGTTGGTGAATCGATGAAATGTTCCTGTAATCGTGAACGTCTTCTTGTCGACTTATATAGATAAGGACTCAGTCTGAGTCAAACGCGTATGCTCCTCTTCGTCGAGATCGAGATGAGTCAAGCTACATGCTCGTCACCACATATCCCGAGGTCGGCAATAGAGCTGGAGCCGTCGGAACGCATTCCGAACACTCAGCCGGCGGGGGCGAATCACAACTCTCTTCGCTTACCTCTTATCGATAACGAGACTTTCACCATCCTTTCCCACCTAGTCCGATGACTGTCGCACCCTGCTGTAAACAACATTACCAACAACAACAAAAACCATGGCGCCCAATTCCAAGCTAAACGCAAAGCGCAAGGCGCAAAGAGAAGGAACGCAACCTGCGAAGCCCAAAAAACCGGAAAAGCGTCTGGCGAATGGCGCTAAAGGACCGGGCATTTCTTACATCCCGATTGAACTCCAGCAACTTTTGTTGAACATTTTCCGCAACTCGTTCGCCGAGAGGATGAGCGCGGATATTACGCCGCTGTTGCAGGAAGTCAAGGGCCATCTTTACAAGCGCGACTTTGCGACTGCGTTTGGGAAGAAGGAGTATTTGGAGGCGTATGCGGCGAGGTGGAGTCCGAGTCGCGCGTTGGGATATTTGGATCTCATGTGGGAGTTGAGGGACGAGCTATGGGTTGATGAGGAAGACGAGGAAGAGGATCAGGAAGCCAAGACAGAGCAAACCAAGCCGAAGAACAGGAAGATTGTGTGTTTGGGTGGTGGAGCGGGCGCGGAGATTGTGACGTTGGGCGGCTTGCAAAAGCTCATGTCTACCACGTATTCACAAGATGGAGAAGACGTAGATGGTCCGAGAGGTCATGTGGAAATTACCGCCATCGACATCGCCGACTGGAGTGTGGTCGTGGAGAACCTCGCCAAACAACTCACAGTCCCGGCCGAGCTGTCGAAATACGCATCCGCCGCTGCAAGAGCCGCAAACGTTCCACCTCTTAACCCAGAAGACGTCACTGTACGATTCAAGCAGCAAGACGTACTCTCAGCCTCAGCTGAAGAACTTTCCTCGCAACTCGCCGACGCAAACCTCGTCACACTCCTCTTCACTCTAAACGAGCTATACACAGCATCACTCCCCCTGACCCAAAAGTTCCTGCTCCTAATGACATCGATCCTCCAGCCCGGCGCTCTCCTCCTCGTCGTCGACAGCCCCGGAAGTTACTCATCTGTCACGCTGAACGGTGCTGAGAAGAAGTACCCCATGCAATGGCTCCTCGACCATACACTGTTGAAGCAGGCCAGCGGGAATTTGAATGAGCGCGGCAAGGAAGAGATTGTCAGGTGGGAGAAGATTAAGGAAGATGATAGTAGATGGTATAGGTTGGATGAGAGGTTAAGGTATCCGATTGAGCTGGAGAATATGCGTATGCAGGTGCATCTTTATCGGAAGTTGTAGGATTAAGATTACGTCTTGACGCTTGTTGCTTGGTGCTGAGTTGCCATCTCTCATCATCCCGCTGGCCCGATCCAAGAAGGAACATCGACCAGTCGAGCCTCTTTCGTGTCTTCAGTACTGCTTCTCGGCCAAGCCATTCTCCACCCGACGTGCTGTATGCACTTAGCGCCTGGCCGATCCAACCAAACGTGCCTCATGACAGACCTCACACTTTCTATAGTTGGCGGAGCATTCCTCGCAGGCTCGGCTGAGTGTGCGTGAGCGCATCTCCATCTCGTTGGATGCATATTGCGGCGCTCGGCCTGCGAGAAGTCGCTCGTACCCGTCGCACGTCATCCGCGCACTCAATCCTCCGACCAGTCGCCCTAAAAACCAAGATCACAACCCCCCCCTCCCTCTCACCCACCCCTAACCTCCGTACAACTCCACCCCCTCTCCCTCCCCCTCCCCTGCCCATAAACATCCTCCGGCCTCCTAATCCCACTTCCCGAATCCACCCTATCCATCTCCATCCTCATACTACTCCTCGACAGCTCCTTCGTCACAAGTATACTCTTCAAACTATGGTTCTCCTGCACACTCCGCAGACTGATATCGCTGCTGCTTCCCGGGCTGAGCTTGGGTGTCTCTCGTAATCGTGTCTTTTCGTAGCGGCGGAGCAGGATGGCGATGATGGGAACCAGCAGGAGGAGGCATACGATGGCTATTACGATGCCGATTATTGCGCCGGGACTGAAGCCGTCGCGGCGGGAGCTGCCGTTGGGGATGGGGATTATGGCTGGGGGGGCTTCGGGGGTGAGGGTTGTGGTGGGGAGGGGGGTTGGTGGCATTGTGGGTGTTTGGTTGGTGTTGTTGTTGTGACAGGTTGGTGGGTTCTCGAGTAAAGAAGTTGGAGATGCGAAAGCGTTGTGTTCCCAAAATCGGGGAAAGAAGAGACACGACGAGGGTCCAATTAAGGCTTATTGTAACGACAGTATTGCAGTGAGCCAAAGTCCAGAGTATGACAGAAGAAAAGCGACAGGGACTACTTTCAATACCGAGAGAAAGGATATGCCAGGCTGTCAGTCCCAATAGCAAGAACATGAGGGGTTTTCATGCCACGAATAGCACCCCATTACGCCTTATTGTCACCTTCCAGAACATCCTTCAACTATGCCTATCCCGACCAAATCGCGGCATCCACTGACCACAAAGGTGTGAGGACAGCCTAGCGCACCCCGCGACCCTCGTTGTAGCGATTAGAATTGGCTGCAAGGCAAAGTTAGTGGCGTTTACACACAGCCAATCACGTCTCGTTGGCTGCCGAGCGTGAGCCAGAGCCGCACGCCGCCTCGCCTTGGACAGCGTAGAACTGCGCTGAAGGATCAGGGTCTACAGCGAATAGTAGGCGGGAGGGGTAGAGGGGTAGTGATGGCCCTTTTTGAGGCGCATGTGGAGGGACGTGGGGACGCGGTTTCGTTGGACCGGAGGTGCGCGACGTGAGGCTTGCGCAGGTACGGGTTTTGGGGGAATGGGATGAGATTTGGTGAGGGGTTGACCGCTTGTGAGGCGCGTTTAATGAGTTTGCTGTGTGGTCACGAGGGAGTTGTGGGTTCCAAGGTTGTTGTTGCTAGGTGCCTGCCGTGCCTGCCCCTTGGTCGTAGGCGAGGCGACATGCTGCCCCTCATCAGTACCTGTTGTCTCGGTGTACTCTCATCCTCTGACAAACGTCTGCTAGGACACAACATCGCGCGGTCCTTCCACACCGTACATCGCATGTCTTCTGGACGTGGTCTGGACGAAGCTTCACGTCGCGGTAACGGTGTCAATCTGACTTGTGTTCGATCGTATGTCTCGCGACGCGATTCGCGCTACCGCAACGCAACCCTCAGTCAACGGCTGTATTGCGCTGGTAGTACTCTGACACTCATTATGGAGCAAGGAATCATACTGTATTCTCTTCATCCTCTTTGACGATTGCGATACGTACCTGTCGTCGTGTTCTCGAAGCCAACCTCCCCGGCATCACGGAAGAGACTCGTCCCGATGGCCTGCGCAGCTTGTCGCGAGAGGGAGTCGGAGAGAGCAGTCCTCCAGGGATTGACGTATTTTCCAGTGCTCTCCGAAGATCAAAGTATGACGACGACTTCTGATGGGAGAAGTAGTCGACGCAATCCAGGAGTGCGAGTGCGAGACCGACAGCGAAGCTCAATACGCGTATGCACGGTTCCCTGTCCCGTATCCTTTCCGATACGCGACTTGTGCCCCCAACCTGACGTTGCCGTGCGCTTTGCTATTCAATCGGCGGACATTTTATTGGCCAAGAATATCGTTGAAACAGAGGACCTGGGGCTTTTAGATCTCGCGCTTCCGCGGATCGACACCGGAAGCATGGCTGTGCGCCCTTCCCGGCGTGCATCACCTAGGATGCGGGCACTATGTTGCTATCTATCTGGTCTTGGTTGCGAAGCTGGTACCACAAACTAGAGATACCTGTTACGCGTATACCATACGGACGAAGGTGTTTACTAATGTTGCTTTTGGAGCTATCAATCCTGGGGTCTTCAAGAGACATATAAGACATGGCTCCATTCTTGTCAATCGTACTGCAACAACAGCCTACACAGCAACTCGATCCGCTTCGTGACTACCATCCGTTCATCACCACTATCTTCCATTTCATCATGAAGTTTACCACCGTCTTCGTCGCTTCCGCCGTGACACTCGCTTCGGCAAGACCTCAGTACGATGCCGCACCTGCGGATCCTCATGCTTGGATGGCGGCGTCGCCAAACGACTGTATGTATACAGGCTCTTATGTGGAACGAAGATCTAATACCGATATCCGTAGTCCGCGGCCCATGCCCGATGCTTAACACCCTAGCAAACCACGGCTTTCTTCCCCGCGATGGCCGTAACTTTACCCAAGAGAACGTAGTCAAGGGCTTGAAGGACGGCTTGAACTTCAACGCGTCTCTCGGCGCTCTTATGTGGAAGCAAGCAATTATTGCCAATCCGGAACCGAACGCGACCTTCTTCACTCTCGAACAGCTCAATGTCCACAATGTCCTCGAGCACGACGCCAGCCTGACGCGTACCGATGCGGCATTTGGCAACAACCACGTCTTCAATGAGACGGTATACAATGTATCGAAGCAGTGGTGGACGGAAGAGGTGGTCACAGCTAAGATGCTGGCCAACTCCAAGATCTTCCGTCAGTTGGAGAGCCGAGCAACGAACCCAAACTACACCTTCACCGCTTCTACCGAAGAGTTCAGTCTAGGTGAAGTCGCAGCGCCTATCATTGCCTTTGGTTCTCTTGAGGAGGGTACTGTCAACCGCACGTTGATGGAGTACTTCTTTGGTGAGTTCACCCAGTGCTTGCAAACCCGTCAAGCGCAATGTTAGACCGGGAGCTAACGTTGAAGCAGAGAATGAACGTCTTCCCAATGATTTGGGCTGGACAAAGAAGTCGGACGAGATCACTCTCATGAACATTCTAGCTACGACAAGTATTGTCCGCAACGCGACGAGTTTGCTCACCGGTGGCAACACGGCCGAAGACTCACCTCACGGCAAGCGCGATATTCATGGTGGGATATTCTAAGATGGCGGTCTGTGAAAAGGTTCAGGATGGACACCACATGTCAGAAGTGTCAGCTTTCGAATACGGCGCGTTGTCGGTCTTGCTGCGCGCATATACCGCACTTGTATGTTGCTGATAGCGGTCAAATAGATACTAAACATACATTGCATTTTCCACTGTACGCTCTCTTCGCTCGTGGCGCGTAATGTCCGTCATATCGTAAGGTCGGACTCGCAGTGGTCTAACAGCTACACGCCGAATAGGACATGCTCGCAGCAAGACCACCGACCTAGTTACGCGTGATACGTGATCTTATATTTCCACTTTTCTTTGCGGAGCTTTCCCAAAGCGCGCTTGGAGTGGAGTCGTGGTATACACTTAGCTAAGCCTTCAGGTAACTACCACGTCTCGGCCTCTTCTCACGGAGTTCGCGACTATGACGCAGCCTATACATCTTTCGAATTCATACACCTCGTTTCCACCACTATGCATAGCTGAGGGTCATGTGCAAGAAGCACCTGCCAGCGATGAGGAAAGAATAGCGCGAGTCGTATCGAGCGCTTGCGACAAGGGACGGTCGCCGAGAGCGAGCTCAGTAGACCCATCAACACCAGATTACAGTCCAGATGAGGACACTTACCTTACCACCACAGCGCAAGTTCCGTGGCGTGTAACCTCTCCTACCTCATTCTATCGCGACGTACCAGGATCGCTCGAAGGCTGGCCGAGCGCGACGAACCTATGGCCAGCTCGTGGCTCTTCGCTTGCAACACCACCCGTAGAGACGCCATCCACCGTGGTGCGTCGTCGCTCTTCAACGTTCGCCACTGACGACCCGGACGAGCTTGACCACTTATCCACACCACCCAGGACACGGTCAAAACAAAATGAAAAATCGCCAGTCGACGATACACAGGAATGGGACCCTCAAGACCCTCATACGTGGCCGATAGTATATCTACCATTTCACCTGACGCCCAACGCAAGCGTACCGTCGCACATCGACGAGATGCTTGTTCACGTACACTTCAAGGGCCTTGGGGCGAGATTGCTGCACAACTTGCTGTGCAAAGCGAAGGAAGAGATGAAGACGGAGGAGGAGAAGACAAGCATCGGACATATGGCTTTCGACTTCTGGCCTTTCAACTTCACCCAAGATGGATGGTGGAAGGGTATTAGTGGGATATCTCCGGAAGATGTCGATGCGTGGAAGGTAATGCGACAACGAGATCAAGATTGTGGGCTTGGAGGCGTGGAATACGACGGTGAATGAGCGTTCTCCCCCTGCCAGCACAAGGTACGTGACGCCGCACTCTGTTAATATCGAGTTGTTCAACAGGCATTAACACTGGCGTTGGGGGCAGCACAAGATCTGGACTAGCTTGGCGCATTCGGCGGCCGCCATTGCCGCTGGTCGGCCATCTCAGATTACTGAACACTATCCTTCAACATCACTTCACCACCACACCATCACCTGCGCACGACTCGCAACAGCACGTACGGAGATCCATGAATCGGATGTACAGTCCCTCGGTCGAAGTTTCCCCGGTACTACCTAGTCGCAATAAAGGTCTTCTGCACCAATGTCTGCATAGCGCAAAACCTCCTCTCACTTGGCGATGTTTTGAAACTCCGTCTGTGCGATCCATCAATCACATACCCACTCGCATGCGCCACCACGTGCGACATAAATAATTACCGCAAGCGAGTTGTGGGGTACAGCAGAGCTTGCTCATTCGGGCGTCTGTGTTACCGCGTCGAAGGTTGCACGAAGCGAAGAGTCGGAAATTTAAGGCATTGGTGGAGCTTCGACGGCGGCGCATGCTCATCTATTACATCTTGGCGACTGACACGAGAGGTACAGTGGTACGGACTCATGACATGCGACAAAATCATGGGTTCGCGAGATGCCACGGAGATTGATTTGGGAGTATATAGAGTCCGTAGCTGTTCGTTGTAGGAATGGAGAACAACCTTGGCCTAACAGTACCTCTCAATACCCATCTTATTCATCATACTACTTTTCGACATGCGTTCGCTTAGTTTCGCGGCTGCTATCGCTGCGCTATCTGCTTCTGCAAATGCCAAAGACATCTATGTTTCGCCAACAGGTCAAGGGACGGGTACCTCTGCCGCACCCTTTGGCTCAATCCAATCAGCCGTCAACGCTGCTGCGCCTGGCGATGTGATCCTTCTACGGGCTGGTACATACAAGCCAACGACAAACATTCAGATCACCAAGAGCGGCACCAGGATCCAGCCCATCACTCTCCGTTCCTTCGAGAAGGAGAAGGTCATCATCGATGGCGAAAGCATGCCCGGAACGCCGTACGCTCTAGACGAGTCTTTACCGAACAAGGAGCGCGGTGCTCTCCACATCGAGAAAGCGAACTACTGGAAGTTCTACAACCTGGAGTAAGTACACCTATCTATCTCCGCACCCCGATCATCCTGCATACTAACACAACGCCCAGGATTATCAACGGTCCATACGGTGTATACGCCCGCGACGCGTCACACAACCACTACGAACTCCTCACCACCCACGACAACTACGAAACCGGGTTCCAACTCCAAGGCGCCTCCTCCAATAACACCGTTGTATACCTCGACTCCTACCGCAACCGCGACCCGCGCAAGAACGGCGAGTCCGCCGACGGCTTTGCCTGCAAAGAAGGGTCAGGCGAGGGCAACGTCCTGCGCAACGCGCGCTTATGGGAGAACGTCGACGACGGTCTCGACCTCTTCATGTTCGGCTCGTCCGTCACGCTGGAAGAGGTATATGCGTGGGGCAACGGGTTCAACCGATGGGACTTCAGCTCTTTCGAGGGAGACGGTAACGGCTTCAAGCTCGGTATCACGGACAACCCGCCTGCCAACCACATTGTGCGCAACTGCATGGCGTTCTCCAACGCGAAGAAGGGGTTTATTGATAACGGGAACCCTGGTAGCTTGACCGTCGAGCGCAACACCGCGTGGAAGAATGGTGATGTGGGCTTCAATTTCCGCAGCTCGAGTTCGACTATGAAGAACAATATTGCTGTTTCGAATGTGGGTAGCTCGCAGGTTAGCCTCACCGCGTCGGGTATCAAGGCTACGGGTAATTCGTGGCAGTCGGGTAGCTGGTCGGACGCTAGCTTCTTAAGCGTAGATCCTGCTACCTTGAAGAAGACAAGAGGTGCTGACGGGAGGGTTCCGAAGAGCGACTTTCTCGTTCCGAAGAGCGGTGCTGCTATTGGCGCAAGTACGCAGTCTGATGTTTGATCTTTCGTTTGCGCACTAGATGTCGTGCTCGTCGCGATGTTTTTCCCTTCTCGTTAATAGTTATTGCCGTCTGCTTGTACATATGTTCCTTGCTTCATTGCATTCACTACCTCAAACGCCCCTTTGACGTAGATTGTCTCCTTTGGATGGCTCCACCGAAATGTTTGGTCGACCCAATACCGACTCCCGAGTGCACTCCGTTGCACCTCTTGACTTTGTTCTTCCTTTCGAAGTTCGTTATTCCGAAGCGTCGGTGTCGCTCTGTTCCGATAAAGATAAGTCGTCGTCGGTCTCGGTCTCTTCGGATAACAACGACTTGACGCCTACGTACGCGAAGATGCTGTTTTGAAGCGCCCGCATTTCCCCTTTCAAGTTATTCTCCCTCGCTGCATAAACACCATGTTTCCGCCATGTCTTGTTTGCGTCCATAGAAATCTCGCTCCATTCGACATCTTCGTTCCAACCCCATCCACGCTCGACCATTTCACTCCTTGTTTTCCAATCGGACTTGACTTCACGCGGGTGAAGGAAGATGACAGTGCAGTGAATACCTCTCCTTTCGGCGTCGTGACAGAATTCGGCTAGCAGATCTAGCCACAGGACTTCCCAATGATGAGGTAGGATTTCTATGCGGATCGACCGGAGATGGGGACATGCTTCGCTGCTTTCCTCTACAAGACGGTGGAGCGCAGGTATAAGGATGCGTGGGATGATGCCGAGATCATGGGACATAAAGCCAGGTATCCAATGGCGTTGCAACCGTGTAAGCCAGAGCTCCTCCAAGGATGCTGGAAGAGCTTTCCAAAACATGTCTATGGTCAGCATGATCTCATCCTCGAACTGAACGGTGCATTCGTCATGGGTGTATCCCCAGATCATTTCGGGCGCTACTCGGAGGCGGCGAAGAGACTTGAAAGAAGTGAATGACATGGCGGGCGTCCGTCTATCCAGGAACTCCCACCATGGTTCTTCAAATACCGTACTGCCCTCGATCTCCTCGTAACTGAGCGCGAGAGTCTCCAGGTGGTCTTGATGATCTTCCAGACAACGCATGAGAAAGGGAAGCTCCGCCGAGCGCGACGTGAAAGGACCTGCCCTCTCGAACAGGAAAGCTTTGAGTTTGCCTGGTATAGTCGCTTCGATCAAGTCTCGCAACGTATGCGTTGCCAGCGAGGAGGCTCTGAGCTCGATGTATTGCACGCCACAGGATCGCAGTCCCAGCACGGCGAATGGATTTCTCTCCATCATATTGCTATTCTCATTGTCATCCCCAAACTTGAATGCGTACATGGAGCGAAGATTCGGCAGGTGGAAGAATGATGCCAGATATTCAACGTCGCCAGCATCAGAATCCCTGATGAACACATCGACAGGTTTTGGCAATGGGGCGGTTGGAGACGAGGAACATTCCGTCGAATTGAGTGACGCCGCTTTCTTAGCCTCAAGGCGCCCGGCAGACCCCTTGATCATTTCGCAAAAGAGCTTATGGTCACGAAATTCTCCGAGTTCTAAGTCTAATCTCTCCAGGTTTGGGAGATTCGCGACGAGCAGTGTGATAATGACATCAGCATCAGCTGCATACAACTTGATGTACATTCTCAGCGCCTTGGTTTCATCGTCGTAGTATTCCCGACATATTCGCTCTAGCAGTTGCTCGGTTTCGGGAGTTTCGATTCTTGGCCATGGCTTCACCTTGAACCCGTCAAGGCGAGGCGCGCTCTCACAACCTCCCCAACCTTCTGGAAGGGCAATGGACTTTACAAGCGAAGCAAAAGATGGATCGGCGAAAAAGCGGTGCGCAAGTGGGCGGAGGTGTCTCAGAGCTCCCTCCCCGCCTATGTCTGAGTTTAACGTGATATTCGCGTAGAGATGAGGAGTTGCGATGCGGTTGAACTGCTTTGACACGCGGCATAAGTTTGCTAGAGTGCGTCGGCCGCATAGGCTGACAATGATATCGACGAGCTCTTCAGATATGTTGTCGACAGGGTGCCACATGGTGAGACGTTGCAATGCGTACTGTGTGCGGTGTGACGAGAGAGGGCGGCCTCGGCGTTCACCCCTGGGGTTAGCCTATCGATAAGGCGCGTCTTTCGATAAGCAACGCGGCGCAGTCGTCAGCATAAGCAAACGCTATCTGCACGTCGCTCCATCACGATGCGCATACACATACACGACTCACTACGCCATGTCTGAAACTGCAGCCTGGCCGCCCGCGAAAGGGCTCACCACCAAGATCGTCCCGCGAAAGGACGCCATCCTCACCATCGCCTACTCGACGGCAGTGCACGCGCCGGCGTCGCTCGTATTCGATACCCTTCTCCGCGCCAAAGACTACGAAGCATGGAACACGTGGGTACCCGTCGCGGAGATCCAGTCGCCCGGGAACGATCTCGATTCGACTAGTCAAGAGCGTATGAGCATCGGCTGCTCCATGGAGTTCCATGTCATCATGAACGCGGACAAGCCGAACGATATCACGAAGACACAGCTAAAGGTCGTCGACATCAGCACGCCCTCTGCGCCGACATCCTACCTCACACCCGACCTCCTCGAAGACCCCTCGTTTACGGCCGACCTTAGCAAGGTATACAGGGTGAGTTGGACGGGCAACGGCGGCATGTACGGCTTTGCGCCCAAGCTGGAGCGCTTCCACGAGGTCATTGTCACTGGAGAAAACGAATGCGAGGTCAGGTCGTGGGAGATCATGACTGGCATGCTGTCAAGGGTTGTCAAGCTGATGATGGAGGACACGTTGAAGGGCAAGGTCGCCCTCTGGTGCGAGGATCTGAAGCGGTACTGTGAGAAACAACATAGCGGAGGCGCGGCGGCTTGAAAGTACCCTGTTCCGCTTTATATCCACGAGACACCTATGCTCATGTGATAGGAGAGTAATTTTCAGTAGGCGAGCAAAAGTACGACCCAGAGCCCGCCATAACAGTCCGAAGCGACACCATCCTCCGATCCACCTGTCCCCCATTCTCATGATATGAGCTGCTGTCGCCAGCGAGTATTCCCTCCATCGCGCACTCCATACTCCTTGACGTGTATCAGTGGTGAGCGTCGCAGAGTCCGCGTCCCTCTGTTGAACGTGAACTTGGTAAGCCCGGCATCGGGTCCGGTGCCGCCTATGGACCATCGACGCTCATCAGTCAAGCTTCACACCACACCCTCCGTCTTCGCCCGCGTCTCTACACGGGAAGTGACCGCTGTCGCACACTGCGATCGTCAAACTGGGAAACTGAAGCGCCCGATCTCGAGAAACGCCGACTGCTCTCACGAAAATATTGCTCATCGTCATCGGACAGCCTTGCATTACCGCGCATTCAACCGTCGGCAATTGAAGCGGGTCGGGGTTCAGGCCGATGCATCGTGCATGCCCAAGTCAAGTTAGGTCCTTCCCCAGAAAACCCTGACTCATGTTACGTCACCACCTACGGTGCCGAATATCACGACCAATTCGCTGCGTCTCATGACTGCGTTCAACCGCTACAACTCGACGGGCATCGCATTCATTCATTGCACGCAAGGCCTTCGCAAGCCTGGCATCAAAGGCTTCTCAAGGCTTTTGAGAGTGGTAGCCGCCTGGGCGCTAGGCTTGGTGCCGGCAAGCTTCAGGCAAGTGCACCGGCGTCTGTGCCAGGGCGGCTTACCGCCTCTAGTAATGCGCGAAGCATTCGGACCACTGTCGCGCGACTTGGCCGCGACTAACAAGCTATCGAGAGCTTACGATCCACACATCCATGGTCGCAACTGGAGAGGCTTCCGCGTCCCAGCCATGAAAAGAGGGGCCGACAATTGGGGCCCCATGGGAATCAACGGCCTCCGCAGGGTTAGACGACCACGCGCGAAAGTCACGATGTAACCCAACCATGCTCACGGCATCATGCTATAAGTACGTCCGATCCGCCTACGGGCTTGAAAGTTCGCGAGAAGGATTCCTGCTCAGCGAAGCATCGAACCGCACACGTTCGCGATAGTATACCCAGCCAAGGGTCTGAAGTTGCGCGAAGCCATTGCCCACCATGGACCAGATTTCCAAGTGGAACGTCGTTCATCGATATGAGAAGCGCGCATTGCTCATCGCGTATGTATCCATCACAACACAATTGAGCCATCGCTAACTCTTCCACCAGGATCAATTGCATCGCCGGCTTATCGATCCTGTTCTTCGGTTACGACCAGGGAATGATGGGAGGTGTCAACACCGCATACGACTACTACACCCTGATGGGCTTCGGACACAAAGGCGCGGATGGCGGTCCAGTCGTGGACGATACTCTGCTCCAAGGCGGCATCGTGTCGGTATACTACCTCGGCACGCTGGTGGGCTGCTTGGTCGGTGGCTCAATCGGTGATCGCTACGGGCGCATCAAGACAATCTTTGTCGGGGCAGCTGTCGCCACTGTTGGTGCCTGCTTACAATGCTCGGCCATGAACCACGAATGGATGATCTGCGCACGTCTCGTCAATGGTTGGGGTACCGGTATCCTCAACTCGATCATCCCTGTCTGGGCCACGGAGACTGCGGAGCACACGTCGCGCGGACAGTTCATCGCAATCGAGTTCACCCTCAACATCCTCGGTGTCGTCATCGCATACTGGCTTGAGTACGCATGCTCCTTCTACGGCGACGGCACTTCGTCCTTCATCTGGCGCTTCCCCATCGCATTCCAGATCCCCATGCTCATGATCCTCATGGCCGCCGTCATGTTCTTCCCGGAATCCCCGCGTTGGCTCGTCAAGGTGGGTCGCGAGGCAGAGGGACGCTATGTTCTGGCTCGGCTTCGAGGAGACACCGGAGAGGACAAGGAGAGAGCGGAAGTCGAGTTCCAGGAGATTGTCGCCTCTTGCGAGTTGGAGCGCTCCAACTTCCGCAAGCAAGACTACTTCCGCATGCTGTTCGGTATCGGGTCAGGCAAGCTGCACACTGGCCGCCGCGTTCAGCTTGTAATCTGGCTGCAGATCATGCAGGAATGGGTAAGTTCGGACGCATCTCATGCACATCAATATCGCTAACATGAATACGTAGGTTGGTATCGCTGGTGTCACGATCTACGCGCCCACCATCTTCGGGATTGCGGGCATGAGTCCGGCGAAGCGACAATGGATCTCAGGTCTCAACAACATCTTCTACATGTTTGCGACACTCATCTGCGTCTTCACACTCGACCGCATCGGCCGCCGCTGGACATGCTACTGGGGCTCGGCAGGACAAGGCATCGCAATGGCCCTCGCCGGAGGGTTCTCGTACCTCGGACAAGAAGCGACAAAGCGCGGCGACACGAGCGCAGCATCTTCATACGGAAATGCCGCTGTCTCCATGGTCTTCATCTTTACGGCCATTTTCGGCGCGACATGGCTCACAGTCCCGTGGCTCTACCCCGCCGAGATCTTCCCTCTCGAAGTGCGCGCAAAGGGCAACGCCTGGGGCGTCGTCGGCTGGTCCATCGGCAACGGCTGGCTCACACTCCTCTGCCCCATCATGTTCGACTCGCTCGGCGAGAAGACGCTCTACATCTTTGCCGCATGCAACGCCATCACCATCCCCATGGTTTGGGCGCTGTACCCCGAGACGAACCAGCGCACGCTCGAGGAGATTGATTTGCTCTTCGCGTCCGACAGCATCTGGAATTGGGAGGCGGAGAAGAACTTCAAGGCGTTGCAGGAGCAGTTGCCGTACGTCGCTACGAGCCATGCTGCGAAGAACGATATCGAGAGGATTTCGCTGTAGATAGATATAGTATTTGTAGAGAAGAACTTCGCGGGGATTATATTACTATCGCGTCTAGAAGTATAGAAATAAATAGAAAATAAATTATTCTATTACAAGTTTACTTAAAAAGCTCTCTTAAGTAGTAAAGCTTTTAAAAGCTTATCTCTATCTAAACTAGTATAATTATATATAATTATTAGATTCTAGTCTTCTATTAGAGTTAACTCTATTACGTATAAAGTAATATTATATATAATACTAGAATACTCTATTACTTTATTATAGCTTCTAGAGCTATAGCTTTTTATATTCTACTATAAAGTATATTAATCTTATCTTAAGTCTAATTAATTTTCTTTTTAGTTTATCTATTAAACTATATATTATTTATATTATAAAATAATTTACTTATACTAATATTAGTATAAATACTTTTATTCTATAAATACTTAGCTACTAAAAATAGTACTTTATACTTATAGCTCTTTTTACTTTATACTAAAAATAATATATTCTATATACTTATAAAGATTAATTAGTAGTATAAAACTATATTCTTTATACTAAAGCTATTATTATACTACTAAATCTATATTATTTTTATATATATAAGCTATCTTCTTTTTCTTATATCTACTAAGTATTAATTTAAAATTAAGTATATTCTTTAACTATCTACTAGATTCTTTAAGTAGAATATATAGTATAGATTATAGTTTAGAGTAGTAAGTACTAATAAGTAAAAGAAGTAATAAATATATAATTCTCTTAGCGTATTCTAAATAACTACTTATTCTAGCTTATAGTTATTATTATAGATTAAACTTATAATCTCTATCTAATTAGAACTAGCTCTAATTAAGTAAAAAATATTAAAAGTTTACTATATAAGTAGATTTATCTATATATAATATCTTATATAATAGAGATATATATCTAATAGTTAATTATAGTATATAGTATCTTTATACTATATTATATTAACTTTATATTTCTAGAATACTTTACTTTAGACTTAGTTATTAGATATACGTCTACGCGTAATAATAAAGCTATTACTACTACTACTACTAATTAAGTACTAGCTCTAGAGCTTACTATATTAGATAGAATATCTAAAATTATTATTACTAATACTTATAATAGCTATAAGTACCTCTATCTACGTATAATAGTTAAGTAAGTTAGTAAGTAACTTACTAGAATATTCTATAACGTATTATACTATAATAATAAGAATTATATAAGTATTATACTAGAAGTCTATAAGTAGAGATATACT